CCGACACCCGGCCCTGGTTGAGTACCAGAATAATGATTACTAACTAAGAATGGTCTCTTCAGCCAAAATCACGCTGCCAGATATTTAACGACTTCTCTAGCCATTTAATTCAGCTATCCCTCCGCCCATACAAATGCAAGTCCAGAGTAGAGAGGGGATTGAGGAGGGAAGGGCTCCGGGAGGTCCTCGGGGGGAGCACAACGGGATCTAGGCATCACCGGTAGTCCAATCATAGAAAGAGAGTCTGTAGTCCGGTTTGTTCAAGGCTCCCGCCTCCTTCGGCTCCCTTCTCCATTCCACCTCAGCCATTCAGCCCCGTCGCTCCCCACCCAGTTAGTCTGCAGAAAAAACTTTGGATTTTCCTTTTAAACCACCAGTACTTGGACCAGCTATCGGCCGTGGAAAAAAAATAGAGTAGAAGCGTTTCTAGTCCGATGAATTTGGGCGCTCCTGAGGGTGGCCTGTACATTTCCTGAAATTGTGGCTTGTTAACGGGTACGACTTTAGGAAGTACTGGTGGTTGAAATCACCATTACTTCGTACTTGGCCCATACATCGGCCGCGGGCACTTCACGATAACGCGCCGCACACCTCCAAGGCAAAATGGCTGGAGGCGCCAGCCTAAAGCAGGCTGCGCCGAATCTTTTTTTTTTGCACGCACGGGGCATTTCCAGGTTCGAAGAAACGTGCCTTGAAAGTACGGGTGCGTTTACGGTCCGAGGGCGTCTGCATAACGTTGTTTGCCTCTTTGACCCCTTCCATTCCATCAGGAAGTCCGCGTGTATTTGCTGCTTTACGGCTTCGGTAAACTAATGCTGCTTTACGGCTTTGGTAAACTCAGTCCCCTCGAACCTGACCCCTTCTCCAATGTCCATTGTTTTCACCAGATGGCCCAGAGTAGGGCATGTCACCCGAAATGGAACATATTCACGGCGACGGTGGAACATATTCACGGCGACGGTGCTTGCTTGCAGGGGCTGCCAGGCACCGGGTAGCAGAGCCCGCCAGTCCCAGGGCCAGTCCACTGTAAGACCCAGCTGGCGGCAGATTCGATCCCATCATCCCCAGGTTAAAACCGAACCTGGCCCAGAGCGGGGCACGTCCCCCAACATGGAACATATTCAGGGTGAAGGTGCTGGCTTGTGGGGGCTGCCAGGCACCGAGAAGCAGACCCGCCAGTCCCAGGGTAAGTCCAGTGCCGTACCCAGCTGGCACCAGATTCGATCCCACCATCTCCAGGGTCAAACCGAACCTGGACATTGGGGGGGGATTTGTTCAATGGACTTCGGGATCTTTCGGGATGAGAAGTTTAGGGAGCACTATTTGCACCGCGTGCTGGCCAAGCACCACTGTCCTAAGGAGGTTCTGTCCATCAGCCAATCATTTGCGGGGGAGACATCTGTGTACAATCTTCCATTTTAGGGTGTGGTTTCTGCCCCTTAGCCTTATCTTCCAGTGTCCACCACCCAGGATTGTCCTTCGGGACATCTGTAAAGATTGAAACGATACACAGAAGATTAGCATGGCCCCTGCGCACAGATGACACACATTCATAAAAAAAAAAAAAAAAAAAAAAAAGGACTGTCATCCTCTACCATCTTGGCAGGGGTGACCTCTTCCAGTCACTACATTGGGTAAGGAGGTGCTTCCATGTAGAGCAGTAAAAACTACCACTACTTTGGAAGCTAATTTACAGAACCGGCCCTTTTGGCAGTGCCTCCCCCGCCCTTAATCACCCCAATAGCCAGTCATTTACTGTCAGTAACTGTGGCCTGCTATGTATACAGGCAACATTGGCAGGGAAATTCAAAAGCCATGGTGGTGGTGGTTAAGCTGCTGCAATCTCTCAGGCTACTTTCCTTCCGTGATGGAGTGCAGCAATCCTTGCAGTTATACGTTTGCAAACGAATGAGACTGAATCCTCTGCTAGAACATGGAAAGATACTGACTTAAACCACCACTCTACCCGCCACTGAAAAAGTGGCATTCCAGTGAGTTCGGGCAGGTCTTTAGGGGGGCCGCCGACCGGGAGGCGCAGGTGGGTCCAGTTCCGCAATTTTCACTCACCAACTTCGGCGATTTTTCACGCTCAGAACAATAAGGGAAAAGTCTGAAAATTTGAGATCCTGTAGATTAGGTCGTGATCTTTACGGGAAAAATATCAGAAAAATAAATAAAATTGTAGACCATGAAATAAATGCCGCACAAATTCGTCACACTTCTCATTTTTGCCACTCCAGCGTCTGGGCCAAAGGAAAAAGTGCCCTCCTAACTTCTGTGATTTTTCACGCTCGGAAGAATGCCTTGAAAACTCTGAAAATTGAAGAGTCTGTAGATTTGGTTGTGATCTTTCCACGAAAAATATTACAAAAAAAAAAAAAAAAAAGTCGGTGAAATAAATGCTGTGCCGATTTGTCTCATTCTTGATTTTTTTTTTTTTTTGAAAAGGCTAATTCTTTAAGCCCAACCAATTCAATTACCTGTCAAATCTGGACAGGATGGCCTTTCAGGCCTTTTTTGTTGTCATTATAGTATTACGGGGAACCCCGTAGCAGCCACATCCGTGCTCAAGCCTCCAACGAGGGAACATGCGGGAGCTGCACCTACCAGCAGATGCGATACCTGCTACAGCAGGTGGGCGATACCGGCCAGGGGTCAGCCGGTAGCATCAGGACCGAGCTTCTTCGATGGGCCAGTCACACCCACCAGCAGGTGCGATACCTGCTACAGCAGGTGGGCGATACCGGCCAGGGGTCAGCCGGTAGCATCAGGACCGAGCTTCTTCGATGGGCCAGTCACTGTGCCTCCCCTCCGGTCCCCTCCCCCTATGAACAACAGCAGTCTCTGCTCAATGCCAATCGGGGAGACCAACCGCATATCTCTAGGTGGCGGGCGCCAAGCTTGCCCAGGAAGGTACATGAGGCCAATGGGGATTGAACCCAAGACCTCCTGAATGCCACTTGCGTGCCTTACCAACTGAGCTTTGCCACTCTACTACTTGTGGGCCAACAGGAAACGTACCCCAATTTCAGCGATTTTTCATGCTCAGAAGAATTCACTAAAAAATCTGAAAATTGGAGGGTCCATAGATTTGGTCGTGATCTTTCCGGGGAAAAAATAAATAAATAAAAAAAAATCATTTTAACCACGGAATGAGTGCTGGTGGCAATTCGTCGGATTTTTCATTTTTGGGTCTCTGCCGGGTCTCCACACTATGCTACCGGTAGCCCTCATGAACATATGCTACCAGTCCCCCAACTTTCACAATGTCTGGTAGAGTGGTGGTTTAGCGAGAGGGCACCGGTGTGCAGCCCGTAGTTCGTCTGTTGATGTGGTTGGGGAAGGGCAAGGTAGTGATTATGCTGTGTTTATGTTTTGTCATACACAATTCCAAGAGAGAGAGAGAGAGTGTGTGTGTGTGTGTGTGTGTGTGTGTGGGTGGGTGGGTGGGTGCGTGTGTGTGTGTGTGTGCGCACATGTTTGTATGTGAGACTGTGTGTGTGTGTATGTGAGAGTGTGTGTTGTTAAAGTACCCCAAAATCTCTCTCTCATTTCCTCCACAAATCAGACAAAACATCTATCCATAACAAAAAGGTATAGATAGCTAATATAATAGAAAATGCAAGATTGGCCACGTTTGTGTGGTTCAGCGCCAAGTGCCCACACACCCGTCTGCCGCCGAAGCGGTGCACTTGCACATATACATGTGAGAGTGTGTCTGTGTGTGTGTGAGAGAGAGAGAGAGAGTGCCCCGCAGCACACGTGTGTGTATGTGAGAGTGAGTGTGTGTGTATGTGAGGGTGAGGACTCATCAGGAGGTTGAGAGTGAGTGTGTGTGAGAAGGAGAGAAGAGAGAGAGAGAGAGAGAGCTCTGCAGCATGCAGTGTGTCAGTGACCGCAGGGAGCACAAGGGCAGGCGCTGACCTCAAAAAAAAAAGAAAAAAAAAAGGTAATGTTCTATTCGAATACAGGAGTTCCTTCTTTCTGAAATTCGAATAGAAAACATATCCTGTGTATTCGAATACAACGCATATGCCTTCTATTCCAAGAGCCCTTCTACTTGAGAAAACTGGACTTACTCTTAGGTTCCAGGCCCTGAGGGGCGCTGACCTGGAAAAAAAAAAAAAAAAAAGTATGTTCTATTCGAATACAGGAGTTCCTTCTTTCGGAAATTGGAATAGAAAACATATCCTGTGCATTCGAATACAACGCATACGCCTTCTATTCGAAGCGCCCTTCTACTCGAGAAAACTGGACTAAATCTTAGGTTCCAGGCCCTGGGGGGCTACACGCCGTTTTGCTTTTTGTTGACGACTGCAGCCAATACCGGTCCTGTGCCTGTAAGGACTGCCCGCCCCCTCTAGAAGCCTCAGCCTGCAATTTTTTTTTTTATTTTTTTTTTTTTTTTGAATAAGAAAAGCCCTTGCGATATCCCTCTATCCTGGCGGTGGTAATTTTAACACCCTTCCAACCACCAATTTGGGCCAAAGGGAACGACTGCCCGTATAACAAAACGACAAAAATGCATTGAGGGGTTATAAATAAATGCAACCCTACAGGCTGCAAACGCCGCCATAGTTTGTTTTTTTTTTTTTTTGTTTTTTTTTTTACCACCATAGTTTTTGTCTTTTGTGCATGTGGAGAGTAGTGGAGCGAGGCCCAATGTTAATTAATTAGGTGCCATGACCCCTGCGGATTCAATCAAGGATGAGACACACAAACCAACAAATGCCAGAAATGTTCCAAAAAAGGAAATGTTCCAAGAAAAGGGGAGGGGAGGAAACCTTACAAATACAAAAAAGGAATGGTCTGCAAACAGCCCGCTGAGGTTATAGAAAGCCAAAAGTACACCCCCCCCTCCCCCAAAAAAAAGCCAAAACGACCCGGTCAGGAGGCACCTGGATGTCCACGATGCCCATGTACATAACCTGCTCGATGCCCAAGTGCATGCATGACCTGCATATGGACGCACAGACGTCCAAATGCATTCTTTAGACCGCGCTAGTTTTCTTCGTTCATTGACACATAAACGGGCGGGCAGTAGAGAACTACCAAAAGAGAAGTCCACAGAGAGAGAGAGAGAGAGAGAGAGAGAGAGAGAGAGAGAGAGAGAGAGAGAAGTCCACACACACACACACACACACACACATACACAGAGAGGGAAGGCTGATGAGAGGGAAAGACGGTGAGTGGGGCAGTTGGACGTGAGGGGAACAAGTGGAGAGATTGTAATTTATAACCTCATCCGATTGATTTTTTTTCCGTTTGTTTTTTAGATCTGATGGCAAAAAAGAAAAAAGTGAACGGAGTAACGAACGGCCACAAATCACTCGACTAGATATCCAAATCATCGTCGGGATCCTCATCAGAGTCTGGGACCTCGTCATCAGAGTCTCGGAGGTAGAGAATCAGTGCAGGTTCTGGCCTTTCAGCCCCCGCTCCCTCTTCCTCCGATTTCCCGCCAGTTTTCCCCACCCGCGACGCGGCAAAGGACGGCGAGGACCGCTGGTCTTCCGCCGGCGGCGGCGGCGGGTCTAAACCTTTCCCGCCAAGACTCTCCGAGGTCACCCCGAGGACATCAGGCTCCCCACCACCAGCACCGAGGCGAGCAGATCCCGCCGCCGCCCTTGTCCCGATCCCGATCGCGGCATTATCTTGATCGGCAACATCATCAGACCGACCCGTTCTTGGAGTCTTGTTGGCAGACGGGACCGATCCCGATCCCGATCCCGACACTGCCCGACCAGCTGCTGCCACGTGGCCGCCTGCCACCGCCGCCGCCGAGGACCTGCCGTCGTAAATCTTCACTTCCCGACCAACCCCTTGATGCTCGTAAGGAAGTACCACCTTAGATCGCGCAATCCTCTCAGATTCGGACAGGCTGAGATTGAAGGAGACGTGTGGGAGAGCAGATGGAGGGAGGAGGCTCGTACGAACGGGAGGGGAAGGAGGAGGAGGAGGAGGAGAGGGCATGCTTCCCCCCCCCCCAGGGGGTAAACCACGACGACAGCCAACTCCCCCTCCCCCTCCCCATCTACCTCCCGCACTTCCGCTCTGGCCGACATAGCCGCCATAGCCGGCAGCCATAGCCGAAGATACCTGCTGGAGAATCCACGACCCAGATTTACCCGCCCCGAGATCTAACGGCGAAAACTCAAGCCCTAAACCCCTATATGGGGGGACTAACAGCCCCCAACCCCAATCAACACCACTGTCTGCCTCTCTCTTCTTCTCTCCCACCACTCCATCTTCCCCGCCCGCGGCCGATGGCCGCTGCACGACATGGAAGGACAAGAGATCCTGATGAATCTTTCCCGCCCTGTTCTTCTGCCTGATGTGGATGAAACCATCCACCCCAGGAGCTGAAGATGAGAGAGCTCGCCCGCCGCCATCGCCAGACAATGCAACGGCGCGCAGTGGCGGGAAAACGGCAGCAACAGCGGAAGAGACGTACTCCAGCGCAGCCACTGCGCGCCGTCCGTGAAGATCGGAGTGTACCGCCATTACCACCGAACACACTGCCACGTGGCGTCTCAGCGTGTTCACAAACTCCATGACTTTATCTAACGGATGCCTCCTCAAAAGAGCGCTCAGGGAATCAATGAATACAGTCAAACGACGACGATTGCTCTGGGATGTCCCTACGCTATCAGGTCGCCGTGAACTCGAAGGGAGAGGGAGAGCGAAGAGAAAGGGGGAGTGAGACTTCTTCTCCTCCTCTTCCTCCTCATTCTCCTCCTCCTCCTCCTTCCTCTCCTTCTTTTCCTCCTCCTCCTCCTTCACTTTGACACCATCTACCCCCCGTAACTCCAAGACCGCCACTGCCAAAGAATGAAGATCATCTATGCGTCCACGTGTCACTTCGACAGCCTGATTTCGACATCCATGTTGCACGCCGCCATCGCCAGACCTATTTTCTTCGCAGCTACCTCTGCCCCCTCTGCCGTTGACTTTGACCTGACCTTGTTTGGACTTTCTTAACCCTAAAGAAGAAGAAGAAGAAGAAGAAGAAGAAGAAGAGAACAAAGAAGAAGAAGAAGAAGAAGAAGAAGAAGAGAACAAAGAAGAAGAAGAAGAAGAGGAAGGAGGAGGAGGAGGAACAGTTCTTGTCCAGCCGAATGGATCGCTGAAACAGTCGATAATTCGCAATGATGAAGAGGAAGAAGACAGTGAGGAGGAAGAAGAAGAAGATGATGAGGAAGAAGAGAGCGATGGCAGCGATGGCGGCGAAGAAGCTTGGATTGCGCCCTTCGTCGTCGTCGTGATCGTGATGTTCTTTTTCAATCCGAGTTTCCTGTCATCGATCTTCTTGCTTGGAATTGCAGCCGCCGACGAGATGAGCCCGGTGGCGTAATCTTCTGCGCGCTGGTCGAGGGCCAAAACGACAAGACACTTGCCATTCGGTCGCCGACCAGCTTCCATCGCCAAGCAACGAAGGTTCACCAAGTGAAGTAGAAGGTCGGCAGCGCCGCACGTCTCTACAGTATCGTGCACAAGTAAAGTGAAGGCACCATCGTCGTCTGCGGGCAAACCCTCCCTCAGCATCCGGGTTAAAATCTCGACAGCCATCGCGATCGAAATCCACTGCCTCCCCCTCTATCCACCACCACCCTTTCACACAACACCTCCCTCTCTCTCTCTCTCTCTCTCTCTCTCTCTCTCTCCCCCCCCCCGCGCTCT